TTATATAGGTTGTAGGTTATTATTAAAAGACTGGTGCAAAGAAAGTATCCTCACATGTACATTCAGTTCAGCAAGTTGCAATCCTGTGGCAACAATGGTGCCCTAGTAGGACTTGTGGCAACAATGGTGCCCTAGTGGGACTTGTGGCAACAATGGTGCCCTAGTGGGACTTGTGGCAACAATGGTGCCCTAGTGGGACTTGTGGCAACAATGGTGCCCTAGTGGGACTTGTGGCAACAATGGTGCCCTAGAGTAGTGGGACTTGTGACAGCCTAACCACGACGAAGACGAAAATGAACATATCTGCTTGTAATGGCAGGCCAGAATGCAGGTCAATATTTAAACAAAATATCACAATTTTAAAAGTAAAACTACTATATCTATGATTAATGTAACAGTGAGGTACAGCAGGGAAAGGAATAGTTTAGGAATAAAAGAATGTTTAAGGGAAAGGGAATAGATTTGTAATTAAAGCATGTTCAAGGGAGAAGAAAATAGATTTGGAGGTAAAAGAATGTTTTGCAGGGTGGAATCTTAACTTACGCCATGTTATAAATGTTCAACAGCGGCGAATACAACCCAACTGTGAGCCTCCCTGGATCGAATATTCCACGCAGAGATTAAATAAATCAGCTTAACACAGTATCAGCAGCAAAATAATCATTGAGAATTAACTCGTCCTGTTGCGTTGAACAAAGTGAGTGTGTTTACAAATATCCAATCTAAACGTACCGTACGCTACTTACACATAAACAAAAGCAGTAAAGAGGATAACGATAAAATAGCAAAATGCAGATGTACAAAGCTTTGCTGCCATAGATACAGGGATCAGATGTCAAAATTCTGCAGGCAAGGATCCAGACTTTCGTCCAGTTCGCCGAAGCAAAGGTCAAGGTGAGAAATAAATTAAAATGTTGACCATTTTTTTTCAAAATGTATTTATATAATTTTAATAAATAAATAAATAAACAATCATACTTTCAAATAAGAAAGTATAACACATACTGCAAGTAGTGAATACACTTTACTCCAGTTTTAGGGGATTTTTTTTATACAAATTATTTATTCACAATTCTACAGTAATATCAGTATGTATGTATAGTAAGTATGCCATGCCAACATGAAAATGTAAAGGTAAATAACAAAAATGTTTACAACAAACTTTCCAAGCGATGTCTAATATGCTAATCCAGGACAGATATAATACCCAATAGGATAGGAAACCTCATCCTAGTATCTCTTCACCGAGTCCTAAACCACAGCAACGCTATGAGGAAGTGTTTGACAGCAGTCTTCTGCATTGAACAATCATATTGGTAGATTGTGTTTTTGTTAACTGACTGTGATGTAATATGACCTTTGTAATATCCAGTAATATCAAGGTCATAATTTTTTAAATATTGGATCAGATGTCAACATATGCTACACACGAATGAGTTCAAAAATACACGCAAATAGTACACGCAGACTATACACTTCTTTCTTATTTCTGTGCTACTGCAACACGCACACTGTGCACTCCTTTCGTATCTAACCTGCAACACTGTTTGGGCTAACACCTACTCATCTAACTTAAGTAAACTTCAAATTATGCAAAAGGAGGCTATCATTTCTGGGTTGTTCTCCAGTCTCAAACTTACTGGTATCAACTCTCAGCAACAATGTGTTACTCTATGTATGCTTCCAATCACTCTATTTTTTACCAATGCATTTTTGTAACATATTTAATTAAACCAAATTACTCCCTTCACAATTACAGCCGATATTCATACCAATCCATAACTAATTACAGTACTTCCAGCAAAATATTAGATTTCCTGGTCCCAATCTCTAGAAATCTTTACCATCTTCACCATTTAGTAAATGCAAATTCCAATAAATGTTTTTCTAATCAACTTAGAAAAGACTTACTGTAATTAAAGGTTATTGTATCTATTTCTCCCATTGTATTTGCCACCCGTTAAGTCGGTCTACATCTGTTTTGTTTTTTCTTGTTTTCTGTGTTGTGTTTTTTCTTGTTTTCTGTGTTTTGTTTTGTTTTATCCCTGTGTTTTGTTTCTGTTTATATTTCAGACTGTCCCAAACACAAGATTTATTTTCTTATCTTCTCTGGTCTTTGCCTTCTTCCTTTTATTGCATTTTCTATTATATATTTTTAAAAATTTTCTATTTCTGCCATATTACTATGCAAAAAAGAAAAATATACTTTGAATGGAACATGCACAGTCACATGCACAGTTACACGCACAATTACATACACAGTACATACACACACCCACCCACACACCCACAGTTACATACAAAGTACACACACACAGTTACACGCAGTCATATGCACAGTTACACTCATAGTTACATACTGTACACAGTACACACACAGTTACACGCAGTCACATGCACAGTTACACCCACAGTTACATACACAGTACACACAGTTACGTACACAGTTACATGTATAGTACACAAGGGAGTGGCCACTCTAAATATGAGTTTTAGCTCATTAATTATGCAAAATTATTGCTCAGTAGCCAGCAAATGTCAAACGATAACAGAATAATATTAATTCTAATAATGGGTGGGTACTGATGTCAGCAGCTTCACAATGAAACGTGATTAGTTCTTATGAGTCACACGATCCGCCCTCTTCAGCCATATTTTACTCAATATTTTTTTTTAAACATTTTTTAATAATCACTATTTCGACATTATGAATGCCTTTAAATTATTAATTACTTGTTTATTAAATTATCTATTAGTAATTTTGTTATTATTATCATCCTCTTTACATTATCTAAATTGTGACAAGGCATTTTTGTTTGGATATGCCATATTTTCACTTGGTTCTTTTTGTTGTTTTATTTGTTTGGACTTGTATTGCTATTACTTTAATAGTATTTTAATGGATGGCGTCCAATCTCTGTTGGTGATGAGTTAATTATTATGTGCTGCAAATTATTGATGTGAATAAGAAACATTTTTCTCTAAGTGAGCCTTGCTGAATTTGTGTTTAATATTAATAATAGTAATTATTATATCTTTACTTATATTCACTTGTTCTCTTAACTACAGTACTACACTACTAGGCCTACAGTACAAACACGTGCTGGGGAACGAAAAGGCCAAGGCCTGTAAATAGGCTACCGGAATAATCTGAAATATTAAATTAAACTTAAGTAATAAAACAAATCTTCAATAAAAAGAAATCAACATTGTTGCATCATTAACCATAAACAACATTTTTCAATATTTAAGGAAGCAAAGATTCCTTAATATAAAAACACTAAAAATTATAGTGTAAATGCTCAAATAAGCACTGCGGCAATTTTTGGAGGCTTTAATGCGGCGCTTATTTGAAAACAGCACATATTCGAGACCAACGCTTATTTAAAATTGTTTTACACACACGGTAATATAATACTTTCAATTAAGAACTGTAGCGCTTCTTCAAGACCATTGTTAGCAAAAAACCAGGTTTGGTGCAGCGGTTATTCGTGAACGGCACTTATACGAGAGTGCCGTAGGATTTATGGTAGCCAGATTTTTAGCTTGATTTTTTTACTAAGATGGTATTTAATGAGTACAGTGTTAAAGTAAGATGGATGAAGAAAGGAAATAATGTTCCAAACATAAACAGACCATCTGCATAAGAATAAGATATAGTGACAGTGGCGAATCCAGGAATTCAATTTAAAGGGGGACCATGGAGGGGCGATCACAGATGTGCACTGTTCTCACCAGCATTTTGTAGTGGTGGTCGGCGACCACACCCACCCAAGGGGCGTGGTCTCTGACCCCACTCCCCCCACCCCAGTTTGGCATAAAAAAATCAAAGAATATCATAGCTATGATTGAATGAACCCATGAATCCATGGTGTACAAAAATCAAATCTTTCCAAAAAGAGCATTGTTAAAATACAAGGTTGATCAAAACAAACATTTATAAAAAACAAAGGAATTTCTACACATTATTGAACAACGCACGCATCGAATCGAGGGAAAATCAATGCGCATCCATGGGGAATCTCCAAATTGAATAGTGAGAAAGATCATGCTGTTCTATGTAGTGAGCATATGAACCACTCTACTGTACTAAGAAAGTACTGATGGGTTAGGGTGGATGCAGAGAGGCGCGAGTGGGAATAATAGCCTCGCTCAAGGCGTATGTTTTCATGACGTGAGTAAGAGTGAAAAGAAAACAATAGGTATAGTGTAATTCCAACTCTTATCACTGTTTTTGAAAAGTTAACACAGTGATTCAGTAATATATTTAATGATTGAAATACATACCAACTTAAATTACGTTTATTAACATTAACAAACATATAACATTATAATTTAACGCCTATTTACGAACAACAAACTTCCATGGTTCATGCGAACTAGTTTGGGGTTTCCACGTTGATTTGAAGGCGATTCTAAAGGGTAACAACTAAGCCTACGCCTGTAGGGTATCAAATTAACATTATCACAGAAACTTTGATCTCTTTTTCCTATTTAATGTAGCAAATGTCCTTGTCTAGCCAATGAGTTGTTACAGTATCAACAACTCCCTATTCTAGTAGTTGTGTAACGAAAGTTTTTGTTTGTTAGCCTATGTTTTTTTCCCACTATCAATTGCAAGAATAGAGGTGGTAGGCAGCTTAAAAGTACTGGTCGGAAATGTTGAGTGCTGGACAGGCCCGACCACCGCCGACCAGTGTGGTAAGAACCCTGGATCTGGGGGCTAGACCCACTACAGTTGGGGCTAAGGTAAAAAAAAAAATATGATTAAAATGGTACCTTCCAGATTTCAGGAAATGACACTCTCCAGAACTTTGAATTTGAATACAGTATAATTACTGTATAATAAGCAAATCTACAGTACAATATCTCATTCCTGATGATGACATAATTAATATCGAAATACTGAATTCTGACATGATAGCGTGCATTTCGATACTTGGAGTATGATACTATCCTATAGTACAATATTACGCATGAAATAGTGATTGGTATCTTACTTGAGGTAGTAGATGCGTCCTTCTTGGTTGATCTTTGCCTGCCAGTCTTCATGCAGACGATTGTTGATGTCTTTTAATGAACTCTGACGACAAGTCACATCCATGACGATGTGTTTATTCACTGACTTGACCCCCAAATGAAGGCTGTTATAGTATCGCTATTATCCCAATCAACTGCCATGTTGTGAGTCCTGTAACAAACAAATTCATCATTACTGTAATGTTCCAATAGACACCTACCGGTAAGGGTTCCTGTGGTGTCAATGCAGCGCTCTTTACTAAATGTGCAATGTTGACGCCGCAAGCACACACCTGCCATCAGAAATTCTGAACGGTGGGCAAACCGGGGGATGAAAAAGCTACCTTGGCACCTTCCTTTCAGTTACCGTAAAAAAAACAAAAACCGGTCACTCGTCTTGTGTGTATGCTTCTCATGTATCTTCTCCATATCACGTGTAATATGTTACTCTGATGTTTTTTTACATCAGCTGCCATCTACAATAACTGTAGTCGTCTACTAAATTTTTAAAAATCTCAAATTGGAGGTGATCCCCTTCCAAAACCACGCCCTCGCTTTGCACCTCCCATCTGGTTTAAAGTAACAATTAGATCCAGTGCGCTGTGCACTGCTATATTAAAAATGTACACTCAGAGCTTGTGCAAAAAAAATGGTAGGCTACAATGTAATTAATATAATTACAATTTATCCATATCTTCTGGTTGGTTTATTGCAGTATTTACCACCTTTTTCTGGTTTTTATAGACAGTCCTTACAATATGCCTTTATTTAGCCCTCACTAATATAATTATAGGCCTAGGGCCTACCTAGGCTATATTATTAATAAATAGCCCCCTTTCTAAAAACGCTGTGGCTAGAGATACGGTAGCGTATTTCTACTTCCATTTGCTAAAGGTATGGTAAATGGCATTACGTCACCATCCCCCAATAAAGTGCCAGAATGTGTGTGACGCCATGTGTCAAAACTGGCATTGCAGATCACCTGCGATGAGCGGATATTAATCCTTTTACTACAGTTTACAATATATTCAGTTTTTTTTTAGTGCAAGTTTTGTCATGCAAATGGTTTAGACCAAAGACTGAGCCAAAAGTTTGGTCCTGTGGATTCAGGCCTTGCTTGATATGGTTTACTAGATGAATGACATGACTCTTATTACTGAGTGGAACCCTCGCCAATTTATTGATGACTTAGAAAAATACTGTACTCTTTGCCTAGTCTTTTGCTAATTCAGTAGGACTACATTGTTCGCTAGTCACACCGCTCACACTGTGGGAGACGATCTGCAATGCCAATCTTGAAAGATGACGTCACCCACATTTCAGCACTTCATTGGGTGATGTTGACGTAATGCCATTTACCATACCTTTCTTTAGCAAATGGAAGTAGAAATACGGTACAGTATCTCTAGCCACAGCATTCTAAAAAATAAAGCTAAAGTGAATGAAAAAGAATTAATTTGACAAAAAAGAAAAAAAGTAAAAATAATTTGACTTATTCAATATTAGACAACATGGCCTAGCAGCATAGTTAATACATTACTGCATATAAGAAAGCATAACAGCAAGGCCTACCACTACTACTCTAGGCCTAGTATCGTCCTTCGAATGTGTCTGTGTCTATCAAGCTGTAGGCCTAGCAAGAACCAACTAGGCCTAGACACTGACAGACTCAGTAAGGAAGAACCCAACAAAAAGTCAAGCAAGGCCTTGCTAGGCCTAGCGCAATCAAAAGTATGAAGAAAAAAAATAACACACACAAGTACCTATATTTCCAGAATAAACTACGGCAGGTTGAGGAAATTGTACGCTTCATTTAGTAAATGCATCGAACACAATCAAGCCTTCTCATAAATTTGAATTATTATAGTAACACTTATCTTCCTCCAATACGATCTTTCTTGTGTTGTGTTAATCGATGTGTGTATGATAGGATCCGTCGGTATGACGTCATGTACACAAAATTATGCAAATAGAGTTGATGAGCAAAACAAGGAGGCGCTCTTTAAGCACTGAGAAAAGAGTTTGGCATTGACTTGCACAAAGGCTAACTTTTCAAATTTACAATTTTGCAACCGTGTAACTTAAAAATCGAATTGTTAATGTATATTTCAATCTTTTCAGACTTTTATCTGAAAATTAGATAGATGAATAAAAACAATCTTTAGCAATTAACAAGACCATTATAAATCATCGCAACCCAGTAATTTCAGTAGATTTTTACATTTTTGACTACAGTAGGCCTAGCCTATCCAGAATAATGAGTTTTATTTATTTACCAATTTTCTATAGCGCCCTTTTCATGAATAATCATGTTCAAAGGCGCTTTACATTAAGAATACAATAAACTAACAGTCAAAATATAAACAATTGAGAATATCAAAATTCATACATTAATTACAATAATATTTATAAAATGATACAGAAAAAAAGATCCAGTATTAATTAACCGACAATATTGTATAAAGCAGTTATAAAAATCTAAAATTTGCACAATATCTCAAATTGTGGCATACATTTAATATTTCGGAAGCAATATATTGATACATTATAAATTGAAATAAAACAATTCAAAATATATTATTATTGATTAAAATATTTTATTAACAATTGAGCTATAATTAAAACCATCAAACTTCAATTAAATTACCAGTTAAAACATTTTATTACAAAATTTAAAAACCGTGCATAAATCAATGCTGTATAAATCCATCAAAAGTATATCACCACATAATGTCATTAAAAGGAATGTACAGTAATAGCAGTATGCATACTTTGATAACAATATGATCCTATTGAAACTGTAACGTGACTGCATGCTCCAATAAGAACTGTGACTGATCCTATAGACTGTGATCTATAGGAACTGTGACTGCTCCTATAGGAACTGTGACTGCTCCTATAGGAACTGTGACTGCTCCTATAGGAACTGTGACTGCTCCTATAGGAACTGTGACTGATCCTATAGGAACTGTGACTGATCCTATAGGAACTGTGACTGATCCTATAGGAACTGTGACTGATCCTAAGAACTGTGACTGGGTGAATATCTTATTAATTTGAAGCTGCTGTGTTAAATAAAATGTTTTAAGATCCAATATAAATGTTACCTCATTAACAAAACAAATAGACACTGACAGATTCATGAATAATTTCTGGTGCAATTAAGATGTTAAAAGATAGATTTGTTAGATATAGTTTATTATTACATTTTCTCTATTTTAATTTTTCATATTTTCAGTGTGTGTTATTTTGTGAAATCCTATTTTTAGTACCGTACATTATAATATTTTTATTCATTGTACCGGGAAAACTCATGAATATAATAATACTGTAATAATCTTTATTGTTTTTTGTTCTGATTGGCTTTCCCTGCGTTAGCAAACACAGTTCTTGTTCAATTCTTCGTAGAACTGTGGGGTGGTATCAAGAAGTATACTTCTTGATACGCCAAGCACCCCACAGTTCTTGTTTTTGCTGTGGTTTTTTTCTCTCCGTTTATG